AAGAAGAATTAAAAACATTGTTTTAGTGCAATCAAAATGAGAACAAAACAGACGGGGAGAGCAGCCAACAAATGGCGACATAAAGTTGACAAGAAAAGAGAAAAATCAACCTCAAGCAGCTACCGCTGTGATTTGCCGTAAGCTGCGATATGAGAAGCCAAGTAAATTCCATTTTAATTGAGTCTTAAAGTGGAGTGTCTTTTCCCCAGCATATTTCTCAATTCTAAGCCTAGTATGTTTGTATGTATGCATGCATGCACACATGTAGGCAGGCAATCATTCTGCGTATACTCTGTGCAATTTGCTGTAACTGCCAACGCTTCTTGCAGCAATTTGATTGCCTTACGCAATTGCCAATGTGTATTGCCTAGCAGTAGCTCAGCACAGCGAAAATGGTGGCAAGGAATATCACTACTTCTTCTACCACGTACTACCACGTACTACCCACCACACAGCCCTTTCACTGCTTTAGCATCCGAGAAGCCACAAGCTGCTGTCTGCTGTCTGCTGTGTTGCTTGATTGCCAAGCAATTGCTCATCTTCATTGTGGCCTTAATTTAGCGCACCTAAAGCACAGCTAGGCAGCTACATAAGTGATCTGTGGATTGTGCTTGCTTAGTTTATAGTTCGAGTTTTATTTAGTTGCTAATTGCCACATGCCACATGCTGTAAGTCAATTTACACTTAGTGAAATCTGTCCAAACGGATGTACGTAGGCATGTGGTCATTTACATTTACATCTACCATCTTTATTCCTTGGTGAATTCGCCGATATCGGCTACAGTAGATACTAATATATCCGCTAGTTTTGTCTGTATATCTCTCCTTTGTCCTTATGCTTAATAGCCGTTGGGCACTCACAAAGGAAAGGCTGTACACTTTCTTCGCTGCCTTCTAGTTGACAGCTATCACTGCGACAACCTTGCATTCCTCCTAGTACGCTCTTGCCTTCACCAATTCATCGGCTACTTGGCTCTATATTGTTGCCTACTTTATTCTACTTATGCCTTTTCCTAGAACCTCACAAGCTTCAGAGATGACTAGGACCTCCGCTTTGAAAATGCTTGCATCATTCCCTAGACGCAGAGACTAGGAGACGGCCAGTTCCTCGGAGTATACACCTGCACCCACATCACAGTCCATTTTTGAGCCCCTCTGCCCCTCCTCCATTCTCTTCTGAATGGGACTCTCGCGTTTATGTCTCTTGAAGCTGAGCTTGGATACGATAGAGTTGGTGTTTTGTCGTGATTGTGCTTCATTGATGATCGTTCCGTGCTTGAATTGGCGAGTTCCCTTTAGTCTCTAAAACTGACTGCAGATTCCATGGATACTTTGTTCGAATTTTATAAAAAACTCGACTCCAGCACCACCCAGCGAGTTTTCTAGTAGCCTAAAACGAAAGCAGATATGCAAAGAATAACCTCCGAGAATTTTACTGTAATTTATCCAGTAGCTTTTGCGCCAAGTCCGAACATTTACATAAGTACATTCACATTACATATATGTACATAACTATGTACTACATATGTATAAAGAAATTTTCATTATCTGTATGCTTGTAGTTAGATCTAAATGTGTAAGTCAAGTACTGATAAAAAATCGATTTCATTAATGCCATAGTTGTGTGCTGAAAATGTTTTACAAATGCGGCAAAATATGTAAGCGTTTGAAGTTGGCTACTTGTCGCTTTTGATTTTATTGCCCTTTTTTAGTTTAATTTAATTTATTTTTGGTGAGAAAAATGTCTGGCTTCGTTCGCGAAAACAATTTATTTGTTACGTACCAGCTTTGACATGCACGTGTATTGAAAAACAGGCGTAAACTTACAATGTATGTATGTATGTTGTATTTATATCGGCAAATATGTACATTGTACCAGGTTGACCGAGATTTGCTCGGAGTGCATATAGTTTTAAAAGTTTTCAAGGTTCGGATAGGAAATATTGGTAATTTGGATAGCTTTAAAAAATATTTTGGAAATAAAAAAAAAATTGGATTTGGATATCTATTAAGTAAGTAAATTTCTTACTTTTAAATTTAGGCGGCAACCCTATTTAGAATGCGCTGGAATGAATCGTACATATCTTGAACGTATACATATGCACTGTGTACTTCATTGATGATTCAAAAATAAATGCTGATTGAAATTAACAAAATAAAAATTACATGGCAGCGTGACAACCCTGATCGAACAATACCTTTCATTCGATATCCATATTGCGATGTTTTATATAAATTTTGTAGAATCGAAAATAAATGGCAACCTTGCACTATTGCCCTAAGGGATAACACCAGATTTGTATTAGACAAGTTTTCGGAAATTACCAGATTTTAGAAGATTTTTCGGAAACTTTTTTTAGTTTTTTCGGTACTTTCTGGAGTACTTTCTTTCTTACTTTTGCGCATCTTTCGGTGGCTTTCGAAATTTTTCGAACACTTCGCAGACTTTTCGGGGGCTTCGGACTTTTTTTCAGGTTTTCGAGGAACTTTTTGGTTATATTCGGTACTTTTCACTTTTCAGCAAATTTTGTGATTTTCGGAGACTTCGGAGTCCTTTCGGAGACTCGGAGTGAATGCTCTCTTTGATTTGTATTTCACTAGTTTTCGAGAATTTACAGATTTTTCGGTACTTATTTTTTGGTTTTTAACTTTCTGGCATTATGACCCTTACTGAGACTTTCTGGGAGCCTTTTAGATTGATTCGGAGTACCTAGTGGAGACTTCGTGTAAAGTAGTTCTTTGATTTGTATCATACAAGTTTTCGGGAATTTAGAGATTTATCTTCTATCTTTTAGGATTTAATCGGTACTTTCCGGAGTACTTGGTTTTGTCACTTTTCGGCACCTTTCGGAATTTTTTGATACTTTGCGGAAGCATTCGGAATTTTCTGGCATTACTTGACTTAACCTACTTTTTAAAACAGGTTAATGTGATTTGAAGTAGAATACCTACCGATTAGTCAATACTTCAAGGTAAAAAAAAAAACAAAAGCCAAAATATAAAATGTAGAACTTTCCTTTGGAGGCTTATTAAGTATGTATATGTTTTTGGTGCATTAATTATTTTTCTACCACGCCACATCGCTCCTACGCGGAAAGAAAATATTCTATTTGTCAATAGACTCATTAACTTGTTACACCAACGGTAAATAACTTACAAGACAAGCGTTTGGCATGTAAATAAATTTGTGCTGCACCGCACATGAATAAGTACATAGTTAACAAGTTGTTGCCGCATACCATTCGCCCATCAAAAAAAAAAAAAAGTAACTGCAGCTGCTGTTTTCCTATTTGCTCAATGATAAGCGATGCAATGTCTATTGCACTTCCCTCATTGTAATTACAATATCAATGCAGCTGCATCTGTGGTCATCTGCAAATTTGCGAGTATATAAACATTGCCGTTGCCTTGCATCTTCAGCAGAGTGCAACTGTATTGGCAATTGAATTGTTTTGACACTAAACGCACAACTATCGACTCTGAATAACCAATTATGTTGAGGTTTTCTATTATCGTCGCTTTTTGCCTTTTGGCAACTCATTGTGGAGCTCACAAAAAAATCGTGAAAGTGGTTGAGCCTGCGGATTGCGCTGCCGCTGCGGATGTCGAACTATGTCGGGATTTCCGAGACATACGCAACCTAATTGATGCCAACACACTCGTATATTATATCTCATCGGGCTACTTCCAGGACGAAAGTTTCCGCAAGGCTATGGACTTTGTTAAAACCGATCAATTCAAATCGGTATCGAAGCAAATTGCCGAAAGTAATGCTTATCAGAAGCTACTTCAACGCTTCTCTAATGCCGGCATCAATACCGATAGTATTGCGAGCATTGCCAATATATTCGATTGTTTAATGCTCTCGATGCCCAAGTACGGCGATGTGGATTATTCTGACAGCATTGAAATGCAATCGTTGGTAGTGCCGCGTTCCTTGCAGGACGTTGCTACGAATTTGATGAACGCAATTCCACGTTCTGACTTCCGCAAATTGATCAACGAGAAATTGCGCAACAATAGCGAATTTGCTAAATTTTATCGCATCGTACGCAGCAAGAGTTTCAAACGTGAAGTTAAGAAATTATTTGTGAGTACATTGAATTGGTGGAGGAATTGATGCAGCATTCATTTAGCCTTTATTTCTATTTTTGTTTTATTATAGGCTACATACCAATTAAAATATCCACTGAGCGTGCTGAAGCGTCACCATATTGATTTGGTAAAATTGGCCAAAATGGCTAATCAAATCTTCGAGTGGGGTCCATCCTATTAAGCCAAGTTAGCTAAAGATCCGGTCGAAATGCTTTGGTCGACAGTAGCAAAGTATTTGTGCTCGATGACGCGGCAATGATACATACATATTGTACATATTTTAACATAAATATATGAAAAATTTTGTGCGACCATCATATAAATTGTAATGGGCTGAAATCAATAAACAATTAGACCACGCGCAAAAAAGTTCTTGTAATAGTATTATTTTTTTGCACTTACACTTTTGCTAAATGTTTGGCTGAGCTTTTCCTCCTCCAACTTGTGGTGTGCGTCTGGATGTCGGTACACAAATGGAGGTTCCAACAGTTCTACGATGCCTTCGAACGGCAAAGGAATTTTATGGCAGGTGTTCAGAGAAAAATCCGTTCATAATCGCCGGGGATTCCAATGAGTGCTTACTTTATCCCTACGAGTCGTGTACCAGAATATCGATAATTGATTTCGCATGTGGGTTTTGTGACATACATATAATCAGTGCTGCCACAACGAGTTTTTATTTGTAAACAAAATCACCAGAAAAAAATACCAAATACAACAAGAAATTACCTTTTTTTAAGAACTAAGATGGCATTCATTTAGCCATACGTTCGAAGACAATGGGTCTCAATCGAATACTCTAAGAGCAGATGGCCCTGTTATGGCTGTTGACGTCGACGTCGATGCCATTTTTTCGTCAAAAAATAGCCTTCTCAAGCCCAACGCCAGCCACGCGGACCAGAGTATTTTTGCGGAAATGTGTTCCTTCCGAAACTAGTGTGGTCAGCGAAATCGTAGTGGGACTGATGGGGACTGATTTTTGACGAAAAAATGACAAAGTTAAAATTCCACACCAAGACTTTCAGGCAATCAGCGCTCTATTAAGCTATAATTTTTATATCGATCATGAACGCCGAAAGCCAAAATACCGGAAAACCTTGGTGTGGATTCCGCTCCCTCACCTCTTGGAATAGATTCAATGTTACTTAAATATCAAGCCAAAAGAAACTTTAAAAAGAGCAAGAACTTGGGGTTTAAGAACTTGTAAAGATAATGGCTAAAGTAAAATATATAATATCGTCCTGCCTCTGTAGTTGAATCGAAGGTGGTCTTTTTATCAAAAGGAGGCAGGACCGCTTACGTGATACCGCAGGATTTCAGGTCTATAATGCCCACTTCCTTTTTTTCTTAAAACTCCAGAGATACTCTTTAGCGAATATATTAGGTGGAATATAAAAACGACAACCTCTCCTCGCATCACCATTCATATTTCAAGGAAAATCCGTGGTGACGCATTTCACTCCCTTAAAAAAGTATGTGACCAGAGGCGCTCCCCAGGGAGCCGTCCTCTTCCTTCTACCCTGGAATATAGCCTTCAACAAGCCTAAAGGGCTTCAGATATCCCAGACCTTAAACGGGGTGGCACCTAATCCCTCCACCGAGGTTAAATACCTTGAAGTTATTATAGACAAGAAACTTGACTGGAAGCGAAACATTTTAGACCGCTCCAAGAAGGCCAATACACCGCCTGTACACAGCTGTGATAAGACAAATCCTTTTATAAGGGTCACTGTGTGGTGGCCTGTGCTATACAAACAACACTTTGTCCTAAACCAAGGTGGAATGAGTGCAGAGGATGACTTCTGATGCTGTTCGGCCGGGTTAAATACGATCCAGCCGTGGAGAGACCTCAGATTCGGACATGAAAAAGTCCTTGAAACTCCACAGGATAATCTAGGACAGCTAGATTTTACCACTCCTCTGCTATGTTTTGACAACAAATTCTCCATGAGAATCCCAGAGAGGAATGATTGGGAAGGTGCCAAACTGAAAGCCAGGGTCGACGGCTATATAAACAGCTTAACGAAAAAGTGAGTAGCGGGATTTACTCTGGTCAACCCTCGCTGCACCTCAGTTTTCGCTTACCGGATCATTGTAGTGTTTTTGAGGCAGAGCTAAACGCCATAATGAAGGCCATATTCGGAGGCTCATAACCTCTGCTTCTCTAGGATGGCCTTTCGCTATTTATTCTGATAGCCTGGCTGCCATCAAATCTCTAAAATCTCACAGAACAACGTACAAAGTAGCCATACAATGCA